AAGTATGTGAATAAAAAAGCATTAACTTTGTGGTCGATTTTGACGATTCTGTAGAAAATTTTCAGCCCATTTGGCTGGCTTTCGCAGCCTGTTCGGCTAGAGCGCTAATTTGGTTGTGATCATCCACGGAGTGTAGGGAGTTGAGTTATACTTTTTGTTTGAGCTGAACAAGCATTGTGTTATCATTCTGAGCAAGCGTGATCGGATATACTGTAGCAAATCATTCGGTACACCTGCTGCTCAAGAAACTCAGAGCGCTATTCAAGAACGTAGCAGAACCGAAAATTTTGAAACAAACGTTTCGGAAGGTACCAGAGACCTTGCCCAGGTAATCTGTTGTGCACTTTGTTCCTTTATGCTGGAGCATTTAGACGAAATTCTATGCACATATGTGTGTGTGACACTACGTATTTCAAGCCAGTGCTACGAAGGCTAGAAACTGAAGTTCTAGGAAACACTTCATTCAACCAAAAATCGTCACTCTTGTCATGAATGCTACTGTGACGAATCAATGACTGTCTTATTTTCCTCGAGCTTGCATTGCTTCCCTCCGGTACACGTAGATTAAGTTGTCAGAGTTAGGAAGCTGAAGTTTTATGAACCAAACCTCCGACTACAAGTGAGGTTTTGGAGTTGTAATTCATTCTCAGATGCTGTCGATTTGGCTTTAAGCTGCCCTGAAGCATAGTAGTATGATGCTAGTAATTTGATAAAAGTCTTATGTTCGGAAATACGAAATAAACTTTGTATAATATCATTCAGGCCTGCTTTCATTTGAGTGGTTGCGATTCAACGCTAACTAAAAACGACTGAAATTTTTTAAGTCATATTCATGTCGTAAATTTGAAATCAATATCACTTTTCAGAAATTTGATCAACCTGTCGAACAACTGGGTTTGGAGAAAGAAGCTGATTCCAGGTGCGAGGATTTCATTGATCACTAACTGATCTCCATCGTCGCCCGCTAGTTGGCTTAGATTCCTGTAGCACTTTCGGCTTTGCACAGATGTTCTTTGCCGGGGAGCTGTTTGTTTGGCAAGTCTTTTGACCCCGTGGCTAGCGACGGAAGGAGTCTACAACCAGTGCAGGACTGAAAAGTCTGGCTCAGCTCTGCTTACCCAAGTAAGATTAGTAATGTAAGTCAACACAGCGGTTTTGGCGGTTTTTTAGCGCTTTTTATAGCATGAGCTTCACTCTGTGGAGTTTGATCAGTTTCATTGCAGCGATTCTGGTCGGGGGAAAGAAACGCAAAAAAAACGGCAAAGTACTTCTCCGATGAGTGCGATGTGTACCATCTGTCCAAAGAGGCCTCTACAATTGAATGAACGTGATCCCACTGCGAAATGCTATATTTTGCTGAAGAATATGACATGCAGTGTTAGTTTGTATGATATCGCCGGGAATATACATTTGCTGTATGAACTGTATCAACAACAATTTATGCCGCGGATACTCATCAAGGAAGTGATTTCCCTGGCGAAAGTGGCGACTTGGGAGAAGGAGATGCTTGATCACTGCAGGGGAAAGCTTTGCTTGCTGATTGGCAAAGGAGATGCTCAGTTTGGCCCACCTGTTGTTGATTATTTGCGGAAAAGAGAAGTTGCTGGACACATCAAGTTGACGAACTTCCTCCTGCTTATCTTTGCTCCTTGTGATCTGGCTTGTCGGCTGGTCCAAACTTACGCACCTAATTTAACTTCTTTCACTCCTGACTGCGATGATTTACTATTTGCTATGTTCAAGAGTGCAGTTTAATCTGCTTATACACTTCGTTGTTCAGATCGTCCATGCCAGGATCATCATTCCATAACTCATTTCATCAGC